AACTCTGCTGCTATATTCCTATGCATTCTCATGAATTTATTTACCATGTTATTTAACATTTTCATGTGCTAGGCTCTGTGCCACTGGATCACAAGCACTGGTGGCACTGAGGGGTGGTTTGGGAGAAGCTTTAGTCCTTTCAGAATGGCCATCAGCACCCCACCCCCAAGCCACCTCAGGCTGATGGCATGACAGCTTAATTTGTAGAAGGAAAAAAAAACTAAGCAAAGGCTATAATTTACAGTTGAGATAATTGGCCAACCGTTAAGAAAGGGGAAAAATCCTAACATACAATCTATGTAAAAATAGTGTACTTGCTATGCAAACACAGTTTCAAGATGCAGTTCCAGCTGCCATGAGTCCACCTCCCCATTCCAACCAACCAACTAACCCTCAACTTCTCCAGAACAGGCAATCTGGAGCTACCCCAAGAAACAGGGTGTGAGCAAGACAGACTTGGTATCCTCCTTTCTAAGTTCAGCTTTGCTGCTGGGGAGGAACATCAGGCAACCAGGTGTTGATGACCCAACAAGATGGGCATCCTAGTGGGGGAAGTCAGGACATAGTGGAGCACAGAAGAGGCCCCTGATCCAGGCTGCAGGTCAAGAGAGGTTTCTCTTGTGAATTCACACAGTAGGTGCTTCATAAATAGTAGGTGCTGAAGAAATTGCATGAATTGCCAGCTAAGCTGAGACCTGAAGATGAGGTGGAAAGAGCCGGGTTGACCCAGGACAGGAAAGAATATCTATCAGGCAGAGGGAATGGCAAAGACCCAGAGGCTGCTAAGAACGTGGCTTGTTTGAGGAACAGAAGCTGAAATGCTATTGGTCTGGCTGGATGACTAGGCTTTCTGAACCTGCTTCTTCCCTGCTGGAATTGCAGACTCAGTTCTGAAAGGGGCCTTGGAGAGCTCCTAGTACCTATTGCCCACTTCCCAACTGCTGACCAAAGCTGGCAGCATTGGTTCTCCTAGAAGAGGATCTTGTATATACACCTCGGTTTTCCTTCCCCACAAAAGTGGAGGTCCAGAGAGGGCAGGGATTTGCCTGAGGCCACACAGCGTAGCTTGAGCTTCTGTCTGGGCTTAGGGATTCTTTCATTAAAGTAGCTCTCTGCCTATTGACAGTTTTTAACACCTTTTTTTGCTTGAGGGGTGAAAGTGGGGTACAAGCTCAGCATGACAGCTCTACCCAGGTGGGGCTGCAGCATTCCTGAGCATTCCTGAGCGTTTTCTCGGCTGTAATCTTCACTGGAGCAGCTCACCAGGTCTTTCTCCTTTGGAGTCACTGGAGAGGTTTGAGCTGCCAACCTTTTGGTTAGAAACTGAGTGCTTAACTGTTGTGCTAGCCAGGCTCCTCTAGTGGGACTGGGGGCGCTAAAGGAAGCAGGTTTTCTGATTTGCCCCCACTAGGCAGCAATGGATTGGGAGAAAGATGAGGCTTTCTGTTCCCATAAAGATGCACAGCCCTGAAGACCCTATACAGGGTCATTATGAGTCAGAACTGACTCGATGGCACACAACCACCACCAAGGCAGTCCTAGGAGGAGAATGGCAAGGAAGAAGGAAGAAGCTTAATTTCTAATTAAGCCCAGTCTCTTCTCCCTCTCCTCAATCCCCATTTAGTACCCTAAGGCATCCCCAAGGCATTTTAAGCTGCTGCCCTGCTGAGGAAGCTGGGACAGCCGCCAGGACCTGCCAAGCATGATGGGCTTAGGCCTATAAAGGGGCCATAGCCAACCTAGCCTTCCCCTCCTCCCTATTGCAGACACTTGGTCCACCAGTCTCCTCAGAAACCCAGGGGAGCCTCCTGTCCACTATATCAACCTCTGGGGCTTGGAGAAGAATCCAGACTGTCTTCCAGACTCTCTTCTCAGCTCCCACTTCATAATACAAAGTGCCAGGCTGAGGGGACAGGGGTAGGGTCTGGTGTCGGTTTTAGCTGCAGCCCCTAAACTCAGGAATATGTTGGCAGAATCCTTCAGTGACTAGTGTTTGCTGGAAACAGAAATGACCATTTTCAGTTGAGGCAGCCTGGGTTTGTTAACCCTTGAAGCACTGGAGCTCCTGGAGGCTAAGACCTCCCTCTTCTCTCCTTCTTCTTCCATCCTCCTCCTCCCCCCCCCCACCGAGATATCTACCCTTAATTCTCAGCAGGGTGAGCAAATACCAGTTGCCTCCCCCCTCTACCTTTTTCCCCCCACTACACACTTCAACAAAACTCAGAGAGGGGGAGAAGTGGGTTCAAGGTCACACAGCCAAAGAGGCAGCCTCCATCCCTGGAGACCCAACCCCACCCCAGTCCCTGCTGCTTCCACCTTCACAGTCTCCCCAGGCCACATTCACACATGCAGAGTTTAATTAACTTTATTGATATTCAGAAATTAGGAGAATGACTAAAGGTAATTGCTCATTAAAAATCATTAAACTGACACAGCAGGCTCTGGCACAATGATGCCCCTCCCGCACTGCTTCCTTCTGGGGGGGTCCCTCCCTCACAAGTGACAGGCTCCCCCCACCCCACACAAGTGACAGGGCCTGCCTTGGAGGGTTTTTGGGAGATGCTAGGTGGTCTGTGGTATGGTGCCCTTCACACCAGACAGAGACTCATGCGCTCAGGTAACTGGGGGACATGGGACTGAGCCAGATGGGTTAGGTCAGATATAACGCAAATCTTGTCTAGGCCCCATGGTTTCAGCTTCTCTGGCCTCTTGTGGCTTTGGCACCTCACTGGGCTGCAGCCTGCTACCTGTATCATTTGTTCTGCAGCTTACATGGGAGCAGAGCTCCAGGGCCCACCCCCTCCCACCCCTGTATGAGGCCTCAGGTCTGTGGACACACCCCTGGCCTCAAAGGCCCACAATCCAAGTCTTTGCTGCTCAAGGCTTGCCTTCATGAGGCTGAAGCTTGCAGGAACTTGAGGACTATGGAGCATGACTTGAAGCCCTGCTGGGGAGGGTTTGCCTCAGCTGACCCAAATTGGCCCAGCTTTGAAATTCTAGCCCTCCCACTTGTCCTGGTTCTGACCGGGCAGGGCAGGGCCTCTAAGAGAATGGATGATCCTTGAGATCATCCCCAGCAGGTGCACCCATACTCCACAAACCCTTGGGCTGGTGGCTCCATGGACACTGGAAAAAACCAAGTCTAGATGGGAGGGACAGGGACCAGGGATATACATACTTGGGTCCACAGAATGGACACATTACTTCCAATACCCACACTTAACAGGCATGTTCCTGCACTCTTAAACTCAAGACCACATTAGCCTTTATCCTGGAGAAGGCAGACTCACTCCAGCCTTGCAGGGAGCTTTCTGGCAGCGGCTGCATCGCACACACTAGTAAGTAGCCTCACACACCGGTCACACAGCTAACTGCTGAGCCCTCCCCCAACATCTAGACCTCCTGAAATGCACTCGACTGCTACTCCAGACACACAAAGCCGTGATCAGACTCACATTCAGACCCATACACCCACACACGGGAAATCCGAGTACACCAAAGCAAACATACACACAGGACTTGCGTCCCAGGTAAGCTGTCCAACCCAAGAGATATCCTTGGACAGCTGAGATGGGAAGCGGGCTTCTCCCCTTTCCCACTCATTCCCTTCGATCGTGCTTTGCGGGATCTTATCACCACCCCAACAGAAACACAGGAGACTGTGAGTTCCCTGCGCTGTCCAACCACCCGAATGGGTAGCCAGGGAGCAGGGTGAGGATACGGGAAAGCATGAGAATAGAGTCAGAGGCCCGGAGCGGTGCTTCCGCGTGCCTGTGGTCGCAAATGGAAGACATCTGCCGTCCACGGTACCCGCCTGGCCGACTTCCTGCTGTTTGGACTTCCAATGCGGCTTGGAAGGATCCCCCGAGGAGTTAGAAACTCCAACCTTCTCTCCGCTCACCATCAGGTACAAAGAACCGTATGGCAAGGGACGGCTGGTTCCAACTCTGGGCACAGCCCAGGCGATCCCACCAAGTAACTGGCTGCAGCGAGAATACCCGTACAACGTTAGCTTTGTTGACAGCTTAGTTGAGCGGCAGGTCCGGAGAAGACTCAGAAACCTTCCTTCCCTCACCCTCTTTCCAACATCCCTTTCCTGCCCACTCCATGGAAAAGCGTCCTTCGACCCGGGACAATGAAGTTGGGGCCACACTTGAGTGGGATTCTGGGAGCCGCGAGGTGCCGGGCTGGTCCTCTCACGGTCTGCAACCGTGGGGTGGGCGGGGGCCAGTAAAACGGAGGCAGAGCTCGGGATATGTGAGCTCGGGAGGCAAGAGTACAGCGATCCGTGGGATGGTGGGTTCAAGAAAAGGACTTCTTGGAAAACATGAGTCCTCGTCCCAGACCTCAGCGGTCGCAGCTCCCCCAAAAACGAGGAGCCTGAATTTCTCCCTAGAATTTTGTCCTAAACTCCAACTCCGCTGTTGCAGCACCCCGGCAGAGGGACGTGAGCGACGTTCCAAACCCGTGTCCGGCCGCCATCCCGCCCTGTCCCTCCGCAGTGAGGATGCGAGAGGCCCCTGAACGAGCTTCAAAGTCGAGCGAAGTTTGGCAGGCGGCAGGGGAAGCGAGACTGCCGGCCGCCCTTCGGACAGTCCCGACTTACACTGCCCCAAGCCCCCCCACCCCCCGCACGCGCCCCGGCGCCTTCCAACGCTTAGAGTGTGGCGAGGTAGCGCGCGGGTGAGCGCATGAGTGTGTGTGCGGGGAAGGGGTGGCGTGATGAATTGCAGCAGAGAAATCCCATTAGATCCGGGGAGATGATTAAAGGCGAGGTCTCGGCCAGGCGCGAATGGCGGGAGCCGCGGAAGCTTCCCGCCCGCTGAGCCCGCGCCCCGCCCGGCTTGGCCGGCGCCAGGGGCAGCGCAACCGGCGGGGCGCGATGCCTGGCTGGGCGACTGGACGCGCGGGCTCGGGCGCCGGTACGGTCCCCCCATCACACTACTCCCGGGATCCCCGCCCCCGCCCCAGTCCAGCTGTCGGACGCCGGGGTCCCTTACCATGAGCCAGGAGTGCCAGCAGCAAGGGCAGGAGCAGCAGGGCTGCCGGATGCATGGTGCCGGCTGCAGCCGCGCCCTGGGCCGCGGCCGCGGCGGGAGGGCTGAAGACTCTGTGGGGCGTGGGCTCCGGGCAGAGCCGGGTCCGGCGGGGGAAAGAGAGCGGGGCCGCCACCGCCGCCAGCGCCTGACAGAATCAGCACCACGGCCAGCGCCTGGCGTCGGCTCCCCGAATCGCCGCGCGGGGCTGGGGGCGGGGGCGCGGGAGGAGCGGCTTACCGTAAAGTCTCAAGCAAAGGCGCAGAAGACCCAGCGGCAAGAGCACAGGTTCCCGCGCCGCATCCAGTTTAGGGGACCGACTGCCCTACTAATATGGGCACATGGCCCCGATCCCTTTGCCCTACCCATGTCCAATCAAGCCTGTCACCCTCTCCTCCATTAGCAGCCTGCCCAAAGATGTTGGGGTTCTAACACGATTCTCCATGAAGGATAAAGAGTCCAGCAATCCCCTCCCTACCTCTTCCTTACCCTTATCTTAGTACCTGAAAGCGAAAAGGGTGACCTAGGAAGAAGTCTGCCAGTGAGGCAGCTGGTGAGGCCCACGTGCCCTTGTGACAGCTCTGTCCTGGGCCGATAATGAAGATGGCTTTTGCGTGTTCAAAGGACAATAAATTATTACTTTGTGCTCAATAAATGCCAAGGCTCCAGGCAGCTGCATCAGCAGCAAACTGTGCTCACAGAAAAGCTTAATTATCCTGATATTATAGTTAAAAGCCAGTGGCACTAGTGTCCTGGGAAGACATTCTTCATTTGGCAGGAGGCAACCTTGGCCAAGTTGTGGGCGGCAGAAGGTGGTATCCTGGGTTCCCATGCAGCTCTGGATCTTGGGGATTCTCTGCCTTGGCCCCTCTGAAGGATCAGAGAAACCACAGGACTAGCCAGTCAGCACAAAAACTTGATGTTAGTCCCTGCCCAGGTTTCTGGAACTGGGTGAAAAAATGTGGCAGGCATTAGGGAGGGGTTGTCTATAGGGCTATTTTAGGCACTTCAAGAAGGTCCTAGGGAAGCTCTACCATTTGAAGTGTATGGAAAAAACAAGTTCCTAGGGATCTGTTTGGGCTGAGCAGCCCCAGTAAGCTACAGGGCAGGAAGGGAGGCCAGCACAGCTGTGCTCCTCCTAAACCCGATGGTTTAGACCCAGGGTTTATGACTCCATGGACATGATGGGACATGTCCCTTGTGTCTGATATTATTCACTGCAGAGAAACATGAGGGCTAAGCTCTCAATGGTCCTGGAGAGGATAGCTTTGTGCTTAGTTCTTTTCACATGAACTTGACTCCTCCGCAAAGCTTCCAGAGCCCAGTCATCACCTAATGCCTTCCCATCTGGAAGCAGGTGGCAAGATGTCCGCACTGTCATTCTTCATCGAGTCTTACAGTCCTTATGCTACCCCCCCCCCAAGTCTTCCAGTTTAGCTCATTGAATTCTCTTCAGATTCTTTTTCTGTGGGCTCTGAGGAGCCCCTTTGACCACTTTAAAGAATCCCAGACCACAGACAGATGAGATAGAGTGTGGAATTAGCCTAGGGAGAAGATGGGAGAAGATTTATGGACAGTCATTTTGAAAAGCTGAGGAGAAGAGGGCAGTAGCAGAAGGATGGCAGGAAGATGGGCATGAAAGGATCAGAAGTGAGAAAACTAAGAAAGAAGGTACAGAGGGGGTAGCCAGCAGATGAGGGGAAAAAGAACAGAGGTAGAAAGAAATTTGGAGACCTTTTGGCAAATACCATGGGATCTCTTCTTTCCTCCTTGAAGATATTCCTGATCACCCCCTGAGGACTGGGAAACTTGAGCAGAGGAGGATGAGTCATGACCCAGGGGTGAACCTTATATGCCAAGATGATTCATGGGGATTTAGAGGCTGGAGGCAGGCTTGTCTGATTCTCTGGGCAGCTGAGGTTCTTGATGGGCTGGCCACTACCCCCACAGGAAGGAGGTTGAACTAAGCCACCCAGGAACTTGCCATGTCTAATTCCAGAACCAAGTATTCACTAGGGGGTCCAATGGAGACTACAAGTCCCAGAATGCAGCACTCTGCCCTGAGTTCAGAGGATGGGTTTGCACTGCCTGATGGGAGAAGTAATGCACCTGGCTGTCCCTCTCTCCTGAAGATGGTCAACATGACCTCTATGCATTGGGTTTCCAGTTAAATTGAGGCACAGCCTGGGTAGCAGTGGAGTTTCTGCCAAGCATCTTTACCCTCCTGTTTCTTTGCCTTTCAAGGAGCCCATGCTGTCCAGACCTTGATATCACCCACAATTTAAAGATGACGAGATGCCCTTAGGGACATACAGCTCTATAGACAGAACTTGCTTATAGTGCATACAAGTCATATTTACTTTGGAAAGTGAGAGCCTGAGGGGACTTGTAAAGCTCCCCTTGCTGGGCTCACTTCTCTCATTCTTTCTGTATCTCCCACCTGGCTTTTTGCCCCCAGAGGACCTTGGTTTTCCCCTGTCTTTGCAACTGTTTCTTTAATTATCTGTCTTCTTTTCTACTAGACTGTCAATTCCTTGAGGACACAGATCTCATCAGTCTCACCCAACCCCAGTGCCCAGCACATAGTCAATACTCAATAAATGTTAGTGAAAAAATGGGAGGGTTAAGTGTCTAAAGCCCAAGGCAGGTCACTGATGCCTAATGAGTGTTGTGAGATAATGGAGAAGGAGGGAATTGCTTCTTTTGGATGTGAAGGGAGATCAATGAAGGTCTCATATAGTAGAAGCATGGGCTGAAGTCAAGTCTTGAATATGCTTTATGTTTCAGGCAATGGAGAAGAAGGAGGCAGGCCTTCAAAGTGGGAGAGATGATTTATGTAAAGGCCAGCCCAAACCCACTGCCTCTGAGTGGATTCTGACCCTATAGACAGGATAGACCTGCTCATAGAGTTTCTGTGATCTTAAATCTTTATGCAAGTTGACCAACATATCTTTCTTCCATGGAAACTACCATGGTTCAAACCACTGACCTTTTGGTTAGCAGCTGGACGCTTAACCACTGTACTGTCAGGGCTCTTACGCAAAGGCAAAGTGGTGGTAAAATGCAAGATCATCTGGGATCAATGAGCTCATTCTGGGGGAGCATAGTCCCTGCGGGAAAGTCCTTGTGGTCAGTCTGTGAGAGGTTTTGTGGTCATCCAAGTCCTGGGGGTGCAATGGTTAATTTGTTGGCTGCTAACCAAAAGGTTAGTAGCTTGAATTCACCCAGTTGCTCGGCATCTGTAAAGATCACAGCCCCCTGACCCTTCCCCCTAAACCTCCCCCCCCCACACACACACACACTATGGGGCAGTTTTATTCTGTCATACTCTGTCATATGGGGTTGCTACGGGTCAAAATCAACTCTACAGCACCTAACAACAAAACTACAGGATGGTGGTTACACTGAAGGAGTTATGCCATCCCAAAGATATTTGCCAAAATAGGGGAGCCTGGAATCATTAAGCCTGCTTTTAAGCACCATGAAACATGCTAGGAGCTGAGGGTTGGTTCTTTGTTGACTCAGAAGGGGGATCTGAACTACAGTCACTGGATTAAGATTGAGAGTCGAGAGAAAGAGGAGAAAGGGCTCAAAACAGTCTCTGCAGTTTGAGGGACCTTTACAGCCTTTCCCCCAAATAGTGCCGGACCATAGTCAATCAATTTGTGGGATCGTAGGCATATTGATGACTTATTTTGAAGTCGCTGCTGTGGTGGCACTTGCTTTCTGAGAGGAAGGGAAAATTAGTCTCCTTAGCCTCGGAAACCCTGTACAGGGTCGTTGTGAGTCCGAACCGACTCCACGGCATATAACAACAATACAGCTTTCTAAGGAGTTCTGGTAGCATAGTGTTTATTATGAATCGGGCTGCTAACTTCAGGGTCAGCAGTTCGAAACTACCAGGAGAAAGATGAGGCTTTCTGCTCCAGTAAAGATTTACAGCCTCGGAAACCCTGTACAGGGTTGCTATGAGTTGGAACGGGCTCCATGGCACATAACTACCACCACTAATGCAGCTTTCTAACCAGAGTTACGTCTTCTATAGAACTGAGGGAGTTTGAGGGCTTCAGGGAAGCAGGGCATCCCCCTTCACTCCAGAAAATCCTGGGGGTTCTACCTGCTTGAAAGGAGCTCCCAGACCTTGCAATATATCTAGAACAGAAAGAGATGCTGGAGCTTCAGCCAGGCTTCAGAGATTACCCAAAGTCAACCTTTTCAGTGTAGAGGTAAAAGGCAGACCCTGCCCAGGTAAATGGGGAGTACCGGTTCTTGGGCATTTGCACCTGCTCCAGGAGCCAAACTAGATCAGCTGTAGCAAGAGCCTGGGGTGGATGGACACAGCAACAGAAAATGGTTTGATGTGGGTTGCTTTCCATCTACAAACCAAAGCCTCATCTGCCCACTACCCCCAGCCGAGGCCTTTGATCCTCTACAGCTCCATCAATGTTTAATGCTACTGGCTGGGCAGAAATGAGGCAGGGAGACTGAGATGTGACTTAAGACCCAGGATGTTGGCTAGATTATTTTCCTATAAGGAGTCCTGAAATAGGTAGGAGGAGGTCTCCTCCACCCCTGACCCCACCCCCACAATGTGACAGGCAAAGTCCCAGGGTTCAAGTTTGTGGCACTAATAAAAGAAACTCTTTGAAAATCCACCAAGGGGCTGAAAATAAAATGAATAATCAATTGCAAAAGCCCAATCCCCGGTTTGATTGAAGGAGAAAGATGGAAAGTTAAATGACAATCAAATGCAAATACAGCTCAACAAACACCATAGCAATTACCAGTTGCAGGAACCACATGGTGCTTGTAGGCAGTGGGGGGTTGGCAATTTGGAAGTCTGGGCCTGTGCAGAGGTGATGGGCGTGGGCTATCTTAATGGACAGTTAAATAGATGCATTAAAAAAACAACAACCACCCTGTCTCTAATTTGCATATACTGCTGATAAGTGAGGAACTGGAATGCAGGCATCCAGAGGAGGGTAATACCACCTTCTGCAGATGCCCCTGCACTATTTTGGAATGGGAGAGGCCTTGAGTGCCTGGGAGGTGAGGCCAGAGTAGGCACATAGATGAGAGGACCTCGAGGGGCTAGTCTCATCAGATTCTTCATGCCAGCTGGTGTGGAAGTTGCAAGGGAGCTTGTGGAGACCTCCAGGAAAGGGCTCAAAGTTCTGGCTTTCCAACAGCCCAAAGG